TATCTATCTATCTATCTATCTATCTATCTATCTATCTATCTATCTATGTATCTATCTATCTATCTATCTATCTATCTATCTAGATATAGATATATTATATCATACATACGGTACAGTATATACCGTACTCAGTACCAGTTCATAAAAACACCTCCTCACTGTATTTACCGTCCTAATATTGTCCTCGTGTTTAAGTTTCTTTGCTGACAACTGTCACCATCTTTGTTAGGGGTTATTAGGGGGAGTGAAGTGGAACGCGACTGTTTAGCTGACGGTTTTTCGGGGAAACGGGGACAAATCCCGAGAGGGAACATCTCCCTGCCGCCGTTAATACATTGGCCTTTGAGGTTTTTCTACACATCTGGGGAATTAAGGTCATCAAACAACTGATGTGAAAAAATAATATACATTTATTACAATCATTTTTTTTTTTCTGTGAAAACAATGATTTCTGGGGCATATTTCTGAGGGTTTGGTGTTGTGCTGACAGGAGGAATTCTGCAGATAAATCTAATTTAACCAGAAAAAGGCTAATTAAGTAATATATTTTCTCCGAGTGTCCTGGGCAAGACATTAGAAGATGTGTAAGGATTTACAGACACATTAACACACATACAGCACAAACTCACTGACTGAGCTCTCTAAAGAAGTAATGAAGTAATGCCTGGAATAAAAACTTTTAATCAAGGTGGGTTTAAGAGGAAAAATTGCAACTGCATGGCCAAAACAAAGTGGAGAAAAAGGACTTTTGAACCATTTCTGCCGTTGTTCATTGTGAAGGTGTGGGGTTGTTCATAGATGGAGTAGATGGGGTTGGAAAACACAGCAGGGACTGAGGACAATATCGGTAATTTTCAGCCGCGTGGCTGTAGAAATAGTGGTGGCATCTCTCTGCTTTTGGACGGCAGACCGAGAGGCTGTGAAGGAGGTGGACGGCAGAGCTGGTGTTAACTGCCAGTGCTCCAGTTTAGGTGTTGTTAAGTGCCATTAGTTCCTGGCACAGCTTATGTAATAATTTTATAAAGGTTTTCAGAGTTCTCTCT